GGGATGATGGAGTCTGCACTTCAGAAGCATTAATAGATGAATTATTATCAAAGAAAAATAGTCAGTAATATGGGAATATTTTGGTTTCAAAGTCACAGACATCAAACAAAAAACAGTTAATTTGTCAGAGCTGGCACAAAATTGTTGCCAAAGTACGAGGAAATACAACCTACAATACAGATTGCAGAGCTGAAGCTAAACTATAAAGTTAAATTGCAAATCAGTTCGATAATATCACAATATCTGTCAAAAAAAATGCAATTACATATTTTCCCCAAATAGCATAGCCCTTTTGAATTTGTTTATTTCTTGATTGAACTGTTTTAGGGTAGTTTGATTTGTGCGATTTACTGTATATGATGTAATGAAAATGAAGGCTTGTGTAAACAGACTTGACTTTGGCATGAAGTAAAACAAATGTGATTACAATAATAGACCTATAATAGATTTTATATGCATAGAAAGCATAATATCTATCTGTCTTTCTGTTTTAAATTGAATATTGAGTGTATGTATGTATGGTATGTATTTACAATCAGAATTATTAAATTATATATTTTTTCTTTTTTTAATATTTCCCAAATGATGTTTAACAGAGCAAGGAAATTTTCACAGTATGTCTGATAATATTTTTTCTTCTGGAGAAGGTCTTATTTGTTTTATTTCGGCCATGAATAAAAGCAGTTTAAATTTTTTTTTAACTATTTTAAGGACAAAATTATTAGCCCCTTTAAGCTGTATATTTTTAGATTTTTAGTCTACAAAACAAACCATTGTTATACAATAACTTGTCTTATTACCCTAACCTGCCTAGTTAATCTAATTAACTTAATAAAGCCTTTAAATGTCTCTTTAAGCTGTATAGAAGTGTCTTGAAAAATATCTAGTCAAATATTATTTACTGTCATCATGTCATGGCAAAGATAAAGTAAATCAGTTATTAGAGATGGTGGCGGTTCATTCTGCTGTGGCGACCCCGGTTTAATAAAGGGACTAAGCCGACAAGAAAATGAATGAATGAATGAATGAATGTATTAGAAATGACTGAGTTATTAAAACTAATATGTTTAGAAATGTTAAAAAAAATCTGTTAAACAGAAATTAGGGAAAAAATAAACGGGGGCTAATAATTAAGGGGGTTTAATAATTCTGAATGCAACTGTATATACAGAGCTCAGCATAGGAGTACACCCCCACAAATCTCTCATTTAAATGAATATTTTCTATAAGATGCTTTACTATATTCTCTATAAGATACAGTATTATATTTGTGCATATACATTAGATTAGTCAGGACTGAAGCCAAATCTGGAGGTAATCTAACAAAATAACTTGCTATAATGGTTCAGAAATTAGTGGGAAAAATTTATATGGTAGGGAAAATATTTAATACAATTTTCAAAAATAGCAAAAATCAAGAGAAGCAAAAACTATATACAATTTTGTTGAAATGTTTGTAGTTTGTAATTTTTTATTGCAATATTTAAATTTATTATATTTCCATTTTTAAAGATGTTCTATGACTAAAATAGTATTTTAATATATAAAAGCCCTGTTTAATAAATCTGTTTTATTCATATGCACCAATATATATCACCCATATTTACTGAGAAATGGATAAAAAAAAAATCATTTTTAAAATGGGGTGTACTTATATATGCTGAGCTATGTATGTCTGTCTGTCTGTTGATTACATTGAATGATGCAATTGAATATGTTACTCACCTTTGAATGATAAATGATACATTACTATCTTTAAAATATACATGATCAATATATATTAATATTTTCTTGTTTTTGTGAGTTTGTGGTTACATATAAGTGACTCAACATACTCATTCTAATCTGTATATCTTCAATTTTACTTTTTAAAATCGACTTCTTGTTGACATTATTGTATATTAATGTTATATTAAGTGCTTATCATATTTGATTTTTGAGTGTTTCTGGAAGTTATAATTAAAACATTTATATTTCTGTGTTTATTTTTTATATTTAACTTAGAAAATATATAAGCATGACATTTTAATGTACCAAAAAAAGTTTTTTTTTCTTTTTTGATCCATTCAGCTAATATTGAAGTAAATTAAAACAGCTTGATTGTACTGTAATGTTTCCCAGTACTGGGTTACAGCTGGAAGGGCATCTGCTGTGTAAAACATCTGCTGGATAAGCTAGCGGTTCATCCCGCTGTGGCATCCCCTAATGAATAAAGGGACTAAGCCGAATGAAAATTAATATATGAATAAATGTGCTGAAATGTACAGATATTGAACCAAACTGAATCAACAATAAACTGGCCTGATCACAAACATCTTGTGCCAGTGCAAAATATAAAGAGCTAAAAATCACTTTTAATTAATTTTTGCGTCATTGATCTGCTTTGAAACAACTTTTCAATTTCTCGAAAATACATCAACTCAATCTGTAGGCACAATGGTGTCTGTAAAAGACTTCTATTAATACCACTAAGAAAAAAAGCCCTGCTAAACACGGGCACATTCGGACAAGACGTTTCTTTGAAGTTCAATAACAGGACATGTCGCAGGTCTTGTTTACCCATAAAAGTCCACCGGAGTCTGTTTTGTCATTTTAAGCCATCCATGCCGTTTCCTCTGTCAGATTGTGTGCTGATTGTGACTTTCTCATGGCTGTAAGAGCAGTCACAGGCTGACCTCTGTATACCGGTTCTCCTGTGATTATAGCTTTGATGAAGCAATTGCCTTTATTAAAGTGAATAGGCAAGTCCTGTCAAAATGTAATAATGTAATTATTTGTGCTTACCAGACAGACTTCGCTCTGATTGGACAATTCAAATGGCAACAAAAAACAAGATGCTTTTTTTTTACAAAAATAACTTCAATTCATTATGCAATGTCGAGGCCCATATCAGAGTACTGAAAATCATTCATTCATTTTCTTGTCGGCTTAATCCCTTTATTAATCTGGGGTTGCCACAGCGGAATGAACCGACAACTTATCCAGCACGTTTTTATGCAGCGGATGCCCTTTCAGCTGCAACCCATCTCTGGGAAACATCCACAAACACTCATTCACACACACACATTCATACACTACGGACAATTTAGCCTACAGAAACGCCAATTGAGCCAAGGATCGAACCATTGACCTTCTTGCTGTGAGGCGACAGCACATTTTTAATAAAATGCAACATGTACTTTTATTATGTCCAGCAGGCTAAAATGAAGTCACTGCTTTTTCAAATTTCACAAACTAAATGTAATATAAATTTTATAAGATTTTACATTTTTATTATATAAAAATAACATGACATTCTTTCATTTATTCATTCAGTAACAAATGAGTATTTAAAAAGCCTTCCAGTTAGGTCCTGTCAAAATCTGCAGTCCTTGAAATCCTAAATAATCATGAAATGAAATTTCTAGAGTAGACTAGTGCAGGCCTAAAACTCTACTATTTATATAAATACACACATATTCCTGCAGACCCTGTCATCGTTATTTACTGGAAAAAAAGCACAAGGGCAAAACGTGATTTTAACAGTTTGAACCTACAAAAATACACAGTTGGAGTGTTTCTTTGTGGTTTACCGTTGTTTTTGCTGGAAAATAATGTAATCTTTACTAAACAATACTGTAAAAAGTACAAATTTTACTGATATTTACATTAACAGTTACGTCTTGGAACAGCTAAGTTGACTTAACATATTTTTATTATTATACACAGTTAGTTTGCTTAATAATTTAAAGGCAATGGATTTACTCACTTTAAGTCAACTAAGCACATTTTACAGTGCTTGTTTCAAACCTGTATGCTTTTGTGTTTTGTCAAATACATAGTTGAAGTCAGAATTATTAGCCATCCTGAACTATTAGCCCCCCCTGTATTTTTTCCCCAATTTCTGTTTATTGGAAATTAAAAATAAAATCAACTAATTTCTTAACATAATAATTTTAATGAGTAATTTCTGATTTCTTTTATATTTACCATGATGACAGTATACTATATTATACAGTATATTATACATAATATTTCAAGATACTAGTATTTAGCTTAAATGGCAAGTTAATGGCTTAACTAGGTTAATTAGTCAAGTCATTTATAACCGTAGTTTGAGCTGTAGACAATTGGAAAAAAATAATTGCTTAAGGGGTCTAATAATATTGACCTTGAAATGGTTTCAAGAGTTAAGAATAACACTTAGATATTGCTTGATGCTATAGTAGGTTTGGCATGTTGTCTTGGGAGAGAACCCTGAGCTCGGAGATAATTGAGCCCAGGGCTCCTGCCTGGTCAATTAGCATATATAATAGGGTCTGAGATCAGGTAGGTCTTGAGAGCTCCCCCTGGTAAAGGAGGAGATGAGTTGAAAGGGGGATTCTTCCAAAAGAAAGAGTGCAGTAGGATGAATCCGGTCTATAGACCATTTCATTGTGGTGATATCATTGGCCCATGTACAGTTCCTGCTTGTTCATAACCATTTCATAACTGTAACGAGGGAATTTGATCATAACTTAATGTTAAAGCAACTATCTTAACATTTATTTAGCAATATGTGGCTCTTTTTGGATTGTCGGAAGCTATAAAAGCTAAACATGTAAAACAGGAAATACGTTGGGACCAATTTTTTTTTGTTTACATCCATCAAAATGGTCTATTTATTGCTTGAATCGATCTGATTGAATTATTGCTGAGTATGGATGGTAGACCAGGCGTGATCAATCAAATCAAGTGCTCCTATTGAAATTAGTTCCTTATCTTCACTTTAAAAAAAATTTAAAACTGCTTTTATTCTAGCCGAAATAAAACAAATGAGACTGAACACATGTTATAGGAAATGCTGTGAAACATTCCTTGCTCTGTTAAACACCATTTGTTGTATATTTGAAAAAGAAAATCATAGGACAGCGAATAATTTTTCAGCATCTTCAACTTGTCTTAACAGTAGGAAATGAGTTTTAATGATTTAGTTTTTGCATCATTATTAATTTCATAACTTTTTTGTGTGTTCTTTACAGTGCAATGAAGATGTTTGCACGAGATAAAGGATTCGTTGTTCTTCATGGACACATTAACTTTGATTGCAGGTTATCCAGTGGTTGGATTGACTTTATTTTGACTTGGATCAATTGTTTTATGTGATGCATAATAAGGTCTCACTTTATTTTAATGGTCCGTTTGTTGAATTTAAGTTAGATTGCATCTACATGCCAACTAATTCTCATTAGATTATATGTAGACTTTTAGTTTGGGGTAGTGTAAGTTGACATGTACTTGCAAAGTTTCTTATAGTCAGTTAAATGTCTGTTAAAGGAACAGTATCAACATATACTAAGCAGACAGTCTACTAACACTCAAATGGACCATCAAAATAAAGTGTTACCCATAATAATAACATGTCATGCTAAAATACAATGCACTGATCATGCAATTAGGACATTTTGAAAATTGAAAACATTTTTATATTCACTGCAATCTTGTGTTGATTTAAAACATTAATATGGGTTTAATCATAAATAATAATAGCCTCATTAATCAACCAACAGAAAAGTTGCGTTCTGTCAATTGATCTAAAAGGTATAGCATATATGAAAATAAATCATAATAAATATGTTTATAAATGAATCTCAGACACATCTGACCAAATGTTAATGAAACATTGTGTAAACGATGACATTTTTGAGCATGTATATATTAAAAATCACTACCAAAGCATATTTGTGTTTTTATGCATGAATGTGAACAAATAAAAAATGGACATGCACAAACAATTGTTGGTTTATATAAGTTTATTTTTGAAGCTTACATATTTTCTCTTATATATCATAACAATATCTCAGTAAGTTCGAAGTAGCTAAATAACATTTTAAGCCATATATTTTTGCTCCAACAATCAATATAGATATAATTACAAAGCATTCACTTGGAAAGTCATTAAAACGTTGATGGTCTCAATCAAACATGGACCCCATATAATATCAAGAGCGTTACTGTCAGGAAATGAGAACAGAGACCTTTCAGCAGTCAATGAGTCTCTGTACAGAATAAGACCAGCCCAGACTATTCATATAGCAGCATCTGTGGTCGTGTGACGTATGCTAACATGAGGGGGAATCACTTGTAGAAACATGTCCAGGTCAGAATGCAGCCATAGAAAATGTTGCTTGTTTATTTTTGGAACATTAATATTATGAAGCATCAGTATTTACTAAAGCAGAAACATAAAAAAATAATAATATTCACTCATTAATTCATTCATTCATTTTCTTTTCAGCTTAGTTGCTTTATTAATCTGGGTTCGCCATCAGAATGAACCGCCAACTTATCCAGCATATGTTTTAAGCAGTGGATGCCCTTCCAGCTGCAACCCATCACTGGGAAACATCCGGAGCAACTGGAGGAAACCCACGCCAACACGGGGAGAACATGCAAACTCCACATAGCCCCATAACAATTTTAGTCTAATATTAATAATTATTAAGTTAAATCCACAGGTTATTATTAACCTTTTTCCCTCATCATTTTTTTATTTGTATGTCTATGTGTTAAGATGGATAATATAAGGTATTATATATAAAATAAAATACATATATGCAACAGTTTTAATCGCATATGCCAACGATTAATATTTTTTCTGTCACACTTCACAATAAGGTTTCATTAGTTACTGTATTTACTAAAATGAACAAAGAATGAACAATATTTTTCATTTTTACGGCATTTATTAGTCAAAGTTCAACATGTACTAATGCATTGTTAAAGTCCAAAGTTGTTCTTATTAGCGTTAAATGCACTGTGAGTTGACATCAACTAACAGCAAACAACTTTATTTTTATTAACATTAACAAAGATGAATAAATACTGTAGTAAATGCAGTGTTTCTTTTTTTCATGTTAGTAAATACATTACAGGTGCAGTATGTAAGTTTGACACCCAGTGGTTGGACTTGGTATTGCACGCCTCATTCAAAACACACGCAAGCGCAGGTTGCCAGATTGACGACATCAACAGAAGCGTGCCTGACTATTGAGCCTAAAGGCTCATTTAGGTTGTATTCTAACTAAAAGCAACGGCTTGCGATAGAAGGAATATTTTCCATATTAAAAGGAGTTTTTGTTCTAACCAACACCTGAAATTGATATTTTAGAAACCGTTCCTATTTCTTGCAACAGAACAACAGAAAACAGACAATGTTTACCTCAGGTACACCTCATGTGCTTTATTCAGTGTTAAATGCTAATAATGTGAGTTTGAATGCCATTTTACATGACATTTATTGCCATACTACTGAAAGCAGCAGCAGATAGTTCACCTCAGATTTTGAAAATACAATAAATTGAGAAATTGAGCTTTAGAAATTGAGCTATAGAACTGTGACTCAGTGCAAACCAACACATATCAGTGATTTAGCATGTACATTTGATAATGTTAAAAAGTTTAATATGTATTAATTGTATTAATTAATTGCAGTGAGTGCACTATTTTGTGCTTCTGAATGGGTGTATTTAAATTGCTTTCGTGTTTCATCTAGTGCGAACAGCCTAATTGCTTACCACTGCAAATCTCGTCACATAGCGTGTTGTTGGGACACAGGGTTATAATGTAATCTGCTCACCTAATGTTTACATTTGTAATATTTATATTATTTACTAACTGATCACCACCTCAAGTGGAACTCTGAGTCTACAGCTGCGTTCCAAATGGCACACTATACACTATGTACTTATGCACTTACTCGCTCAACAGTATAGTATATGTATGTAGTGTCGTCCCAAGTGGAGCACTAATGTTTTTTTTACTAGGTGGAAATTCAAACTGTTTGCCTAATGACATTTGACGGTTGCCAAATCAGTGAAATATATGACCAAACTATCAAACAATACCTGCCATGAGTATAACCGCACTCACCATCGGGAGGCGCTATAATCACTCTCGTAGGAGAATTTTGCTTTCACCATCCAAAATAAATAAAGTTATCCAACCAATTCAACATGTGCGCCCGATAGCTCCGCTCCTTCCACTACGTGAGCAAACCTGCAGTCGTTGACAGCGTAAAGTGTCCATTATTACTCACTTCATTTTGGCGGCTGAATGATTGCATCAACTGGTAATAAAAGTGCACTTATTATTTTTAGAGTTTTCAGTGTGAACGCACTTCTTACACTATTTAAACTACAAAATGGCGTAGAATAGTGCGCAAGTATGCCATTTGGGATGCAGCTTACGTCTTATTTCGGAGTCTGTTACTGTCCACCGGAGGTCGCATTTCAGTCACGGATCCATGCTTTGAGAGCCTTCATGACTGAATGAATGAAACATGAGGTTTTCTATCAAGGGAACCTGGGTGCTGAAATATAATTGGCTAAACTGGCAATGGGCGGGTTAAAAGAACCAAAACAAAGACAGATGTTCTGGCACGTAACGCACATTTTCAAAGCTGAATATTTGATTTCAGCATTGTATTTCAAATAAATAAGAATCTTCACTTAGCATCTTTATTAAATATCTGCAAACATACTATGGTATTTTTATGCTTTAGGAGAGTCAAAAACTTACAGCACCTTTAAGTAACAGAACCCTATTGTAAATGCTCAAGTATGATCTTTTTTCCTTTTTATTCCGTGCCAAAATGTAACCTGGAAATGTTTCTATGAGATTCACCCGTGAACTGAAAACAAAGAAAAGAAAAGAGTAATCTGTAAAACTGAATTGTGAATCATTCTTGTGTCTGATGAGTTATTGGCATCGAAAAACATAACTGTTCTAATTAAACACCTTCAGAACCAACTACACACTGAAGACACTGAAAATGCACACAGATGCTATTTTACAATTCGCACTCTCATAGATAATATACTTGTTTTTCCTTCAGTTCAGATCTCTTCAAGGCAGTCGTATAATCACAGAGGGTGATTTAATATGTTAATCTCACGAGATACAAAATAGCTGTTTGAAAATGAGATTTTTCTCTAAAGCACATCAGCAATCCTTGGCGCAGAGGTGTCACTCGGTATAAAGAACAGGTAGTTCACATCACACCTCGTTATATTTCATCTCAATAATATTAAAAGCCTCAAGGCCTGATAAAAATGCACAAGTAGGCGTTTGGGTGATGAAAGCGTGCTCTGTGGGAATTGATTTAACATGTAATATATGCACCTTGATAGCACTGATGATGTTAAATACTGTACATAAAACCAATACGCACATTTGCTCTTTTTCTACTGAAGCATGGCATTTGCACACTTATCTATGCGCATTATTCGGTCAACATTTTCAGATTCTCTTCATGCCATTACACTGTAAAAAAAAGACACGGTTATTTTTTTTATTTTTTAGTTGAATCAAAGTAACCTGATGAGCAATTTTAACTTTCATTTATCAGCTTGTATAACTTAATTAAGCTGAAACATGATCAACTTTAGTTAGCAAATATATAACAGCTTGTTCTTATGAGGGAATGTAACTATTTTACATAATTTCCAATGCAAATCGATTAACTTAAATTTTAGTAGACTGAAAACAAAACAATTAATTTGTCGTCAAAAAATCTCAAGAGTTGTGAATTTCAGCTGGTTTTAAATAAGTAGGTTGAACAAGCATAAATAATAATTGTTTGAGTGCAGAAGAGTGGCTAATTCATATGATTTCATTCATACAAAAACATTTTTAGCATGCCCCAACAATTTTATTAAATCCCACCATCATTTTGGAATGAGCAAATCATAATAAATCTTATAAATGAGTCTGTGTCGATAGCCGACATGTGGACAGAATGCCCACTGTAAAACCCAACAGCCAACTTTATCAAATGAAATGAGTGTAGTGAACCCAAAATTGACTAAACGTTTATTCTACTCACTTGAAAAGAGTTTTGAACTCAGTGTTAAAGGTAATGAGTTAAATACCTCATTACTTCAACTTAAATAGAGCAAGTTCACAGTACTCATAGATTAGTTTAACTCAAATGGTTTGGTGCAATCAGTTTCCTTTAATGGTTTGAGTTGCCTTAACTTATTGGGTTTACTTATTTTGAGTTCTCTTCATTTATTGCATTTTACTGTGCTCAAATTGCTTCGTTTACTAAAATGGATTAAGTTCACAGTACTCATTTGGATTAGTTTTTGAACTAATGGTTTGTTGCAATTGGTTTCCTCCAATTGTGACCAGTGTGTGTGTCCCAAGTTTGAGTCGTTAAAGCAGACTTTACCCGACCCCACCCCTACTTTCTCCAGGTTCATTACCTGTCTAGTTATGGCAAATGCTAAATAAATCTCAGTAAAGTTTTATAAAGTATTTTCGAGAGGAGCAGTTGATCTCTCATTCGCAATCATTAATTATCCAATCAGATTATTCCAAACTCATAATAAATAGCATGTCTTGCATTACTCCCTTATTGTTTTTGAAGTTTACATGCTCAATTATCTCCAAGTTTAAGGTTCTCTCCCGGGACAGCATGCCAAACATACTAATATTATCAAGCAATATCTAAGTGTGAACTCTTGGGGGAAAAAATAATAAAATGCATAAATGAAATTGTAAAAATTCAAAAATATGAATTAGCCACTGAATCAAAAAGGCAAGAATTGCTGTGGGATTGCGTTTAAAAACATAAGATGTCACGATAAAAATAAAAATGTTGACACTACTTACTGATCATATCATTTTTACAGTGCATCTGCCCACAATTGTTTTTATTAAAGATTTAGTTCACG